CCTGGCTGTGGAGGTCCCACTGCGAGGAGCAATGGGTTCCAGCCCCACCCCAGACCTCTCAGCCCAGGGGTCCAGTGCCGGGAAGAGAAGTCCCCTGACTCCGGGCTGGAAAAGCAGCGACTGTGGCCGAGAGGCCGCTGCAGTCCTCAGGCTCACTCCCTCTTCAGGGCCCGGCACGGACTCGCTCAGACGCGCCCCCTGAGCCCAGCGCTGGGCCAGCGGCTTGGGAGGATCCAGGGACGCACGGGGAGGAACTAAATTGCCTGGCATCAGGGCAAGAACTGGGGGCAGCTTTCTCCCAGACAAAAGTGCTGACGGAGGTCGTTGCTCCTTTGCCACCATGGACAGCGGCAAGCCGAGCACCCCGCGCTCCGGGTGGACTGCCTGCCTTCCTCTCCCGTGCGGGCATTTCTCCTGCAGTAATGATTGTAAGCCTTATAATCATCTTTCCTGCCCGCGTGTCATTTAGAAAATCCTCTGGGGTTAGCTTATTAGCTTCCACACCCATCAAGATTGAATAATAATAATCTTAGATAGCTAATATTTGTTGAAGCTTATATGTGCCTGATGAAGTATTTTATATTTATTAATTTAATTCTCACAACAATCCTAAAAGCAACATAATACTATTATTCCCATTTATAGATGAGAAAACTGAAACGGAGAAATGGCTTGAAACTCTCTTAAGTGCCAGACAGGGGCCTGTGCATGAGCAGGGGCATTTCCCCAGGTGCAGCGTGTCCTGTGTAAGGGACACTGGCCAGAACTACGAAAACAAGACAAAACCCAAACATAACACGGATAACCTCCTTTAACTGGAACCACTAGGTAACTTTTAGTTTGAGGGATAGGCCAAGCTCATAGTAACTCTCAGGAAAAAGGTTTTAAATATCTCTCCGTTTTGTCTGTGGTTATCTCTATTTTTTTAAAAAAATAAAATACCTACAAAACTTCAGCTCCTCATGAGGCACCGGGGCACCAGAGCATGTAGCTAAGACAGACTCCTCTGACCCTCGAAAGTGTAATGTTTGTGCTAGTTCCAGGTTTTCCTGGTTCATAAAACACTCCAACATATATGGGGAGTGAAAGGACAGAAAACAGGCCTCTCCTTTTCTTTGTTGAGGGGCACCTGGTAGCTAAACCTGAGGCTGTGGGCTCCTCTGTTCAAACAGTGGGATGAGATA